AAGGCTGGCTGGGGAATTCTGGGAGTTGAAGTCCTCACATCTTCAAGCTGCCAAGGGTGAGAAACACTGTCTTAGCAGTAGATACGTCTGCCGGGCTTCCTCAGTTCTGTCCAACTATCCATATCATGCATCTCAGAAAGTCAGGTTGTAATCTAGTGGCCAGTACCACAGGTTACATTTGGTTAAAGTGAACCTTGGCTTGTTCTGCTTTGCACGATCTGCAGACCCAACTGAGTTGGTTCGTTTGGACATCAGCATATTCTGCAAGCCTGTTCAGTACAGGAACCACATTAAGGGTGTTGGGCAAATTCTGCCTTTGAGGCTCTTGGTGGTTCAGAATCCCCCAGAAACCTCCACAAAAACTTGCAAATCTAACACACAGAGAAAGATGTGTGGTTTAGCGTCCTTTCGTTTAGAAGATGCTGTTGATGAGGCAGCTGAGATCTGGTGGCCTCTGCTTTGACTCAATAGATTTTCTGGACTACAAGCACCATCTTCTTCACACAATCAGATTGTGACCCTGTGGTTCTATGTAGGTAGGGGTGTGTGTGTGTGTGTTTGTGAGAACTTGTGGGAAATTGGAATGAAAATCTCAACAAGGGAAGGTTTGTTCAACAAGAGATGATTCCATGGTGAATTGGGTGAGGCAATGACAAGTGGAAAATGTACCCATAGACATGAGAAAATACCAAGCTTGGGGCTGGACCAGCCATTTCAGAAATTATAAAAATAGCTGGGAACTGTAGTTCTTGGAGGCAACAGACAGAACAGGATCCTGGATGGTGGGCCTTCTACCTCAATTCTCCTGGAACTCAAAACTAGCCTAGTCAGATGGACCTAGAGATGGAGAGGCACAAATGGGTGTGTGTTTAGGAGCGACGGAATTAAAGCTTTTCACTCAGACAGTAAACAGTAAGAGTTGTAACCCTGCATCTGTTTCTACATGTCCCAAGTAGCACTGGAACTATAATTAAAATTTTTAAAAAAACAACCTCTTTATCACCCTTTGTGTGGCCAAACTGTACTTTTCCTATTGAAATTAAAGACCCTACTGCTGTTTGACCAGTACAGTAGTACTTAATACTTACCTTAGTGGAAAAAACCTTAGTGGAAAAAGAGGGCAATGCAGATTTTAAGGTCTTCTGCAGAGACATTCTCTGTACGCCCTACTGTCGTAAACAAGACAAGCGATAGCAAAAATCAAGTTCCTTCATCGCTAGGACCCTATCCGTGGAATCCCCTGTCCATAAATAAAGAAGCAAAAATAAATAAATAATTTTCCTTATTTATTGGATTAGGTTAAAGTGCTCTTGTTGTGTCCAGCTTTGTAACGATTTTGTACTTTGTTTAGTGGGATTTTTTTTAACGGTCATTTCTTGCTCGATGCCTTTTAATGCACGTATCCTATTATTGTTTATGTCTCACATTGTCTTACACATTGCTCAAGGATGCCTTTTTCTGAAGGGTGCGATACAAATATAGTTTGAAAAAAGGAAAACAAGGGCTCGGCGTGAGGGTGGCTGCCGTCTTGACCTTTTTGAACATAGCCTGCAAGCGTCTTTGGCTTTGCCTCTTACAAAATTCCTTTTTTTGTAAAAAGAGAGAGAGAAGGGAAAAAAGGTATGAAATCTCCATTGTAGATCTCAACATATCTGCTGCAGACAACTTGCCTTTAGGAAGAATTGTTATGCTATGGCAGATTTTAGGATTATACACGTCCCGGCAGTATTTATACAACTCACTGAGAGATGGCTTCAACCGAAGGAACTTGAGAAGCTGTTTCTTCAGCAACAAAGAATATTACAGAAGAACAAAAGCCTTGTGGCTACCTCAAGTCATTTATTCCAACATTAAGAGCTGCATCTGTTCCCTTCCCCAAAGATCTGCTAATATTTTAGTTAAAACAGGGGTTCCCAACAGCAGAAGTGAGAACCCTCGCAAAAATTAATAAAGGACGTGAATAAAGGGCCAAGTCAAGCGTAATTTGCTAGAGCGACGGAACCTGATTCAGAGTCATGCTGTTTATTTCAAACGTAAGGTTTTTAATCACCATAAGGGAGCTTCTGAGGTCCTGCTTGCAAATTCCCAGGACAGATGGGCATGTTTAAAAAAAAAAATAACCACCTCTTTTGCTCTGTGTGATGGACTTAAATTAGGTAAGCGTTTGAGCTGTTCGTCAAAATCACGTTGTTGCCTTTGGGGAAGGCGAAACAAATTGGTCTGGTTTACACAATAGGTTGCAAGTGGCAGAAGCTGGAAAGAAGCCAGGCCCACAGCCCAAGTAACCTATAACTTGCAAGGAGTCTTTTAGCTTCTCTCCCCCTTCCATCAAAGCCACCCAAAGGATTCAATCACCAGCCTACGTCCCTCACCAAGCACTGCGGAAGCGATTTCCTTGCTCCTGGCCTGATAGGAACCCAGATTCCACACCCTTCAGGCTAAGCCCTGAGTCCGATACAGCTCAGGTGGCTGACGTAGACCGGTTGCGGGAGGATGGTCCAAAGAGGGAGATGGAAAGGAAGGAGCAATGGGCCTGGATGGCACGAGGGTGACGGGAAGGTCTCTGAGGACCAGAGTGCACTCGACTTCCACTTTTCACACGGAGAGTTCAAGAAACACAACTGTGGACCTCACAAGTGGGGGATACCCCCTTGTTCAGATGTAAAGTGGTATGCTGGCGTCCCCCTTCCCTGATCTGGAGCCCTCTAAACATGCCATTGGCTGTGCTGGCTGGGGGATTTTGGGAGAGTCAGCCCTGAAATAGATAGAGATCTATAAGTGGGAGGAAGCTGATCCAAGCTGAGGCCTCTTGGTCAGAAGCAGAGTTTAATTTTGAGAAGTCTCCTAACGCAGAGCCTAATTCCTGAGTAAACAGTTGAGAGTCCATGTGATTTTTCTCTTCCTGGGGCACACAAGCCTTCCCAGCCCCCATTCTCCCCCCCCCCCCCCCCCTATTCCCCCCCCCCCCATCATTCAAATCCAGCTGTTTAGGACCAATGAGATGAGATGTTGATCTTTCCCATCCTTTAATTTCATTTTTAGAAGCAGCAGCAGGGGATCCGGGGGGTGGGGGGGTTGGAAAAGCATCATTTTGCTATGGCAGGGATTATCTTCTTTCCATCACGTTTTCCTGATGGAAATCGTCAGCCCCCCTCCCCAACCATCAATTTCCTTGTTCCAATTACAGTTTTCCATAACAGGCAAAGTGCACGTGCATGTTTTACATTTGGAAAACGAGGAGCAGGAGAAAGGCCGGGGGCCCCTTTTCCTGGGGCCCTCTGATTCCCCAGCGGCTTGTTTTTTAGACAGAAGGCGTCTGCTTGGAAGTTCCTGGAATGGGGACTCCAGATTGCCCACTCGGTTGCTGGTAGCATCACCATCAGCAAAAGAGGCGTTTTCCAGTCCGCGTTCTCAAAGCACCCATATGCGGTCTAATGAATGTTGCATTGCTTGGGGTGTGGATACAGCCAAGGCAGCTTCAAGACGTGCTTCCAGGAGGATGCTGGGAAAAAGAGTGGGAATCAGGCTTACCACAACAGGCTCGTAAAGAGCGACCTGTTAACTCAGGAAATTTCAGGCCTCAGGTTGTGACGGGAGGCATAACACTTCTCCGGAGCATCGTAGGGAAACAGGATGCATCCTGGCACTAGCAAAATAAAAGAACTGAGTGTAAACCTGAGAGCTGATGAGAGATTCAATTGTGGGCAGTTATTTAGCTGGAGTGGGTGGGGAGTGGGGTCTACCATTAACCCACCTGCTTTGTGAGCATTGGTGAGGTCTGCTAAGATGGATTTGATGGGGAACTCCAACATCCCTTTCTCCCACTTGCTCACGTGGACAGGTGGCGCATCCCATTGGAAAGTTCTTCCACCATCCTTATGACGACCCACAGGATCCTGTGTTCAGGAAGGGTGGCACTAGGACTGGCTCAAGACATTTGGGCATCTGAGAGATAAAGCCCTTTCCCCTTGCTAGCAAAACCAAAGAAAGGGGGCGCAAGGGGGAGGGAAACTATTCTGATTTGCCACCTCCATGGCAGACCAGGTCCTGGGCTCTCAAGGGAGTAGAAGGGAGCTAGAACAGCACTGAAGAACGTCTCTCCCATCCTTCTTCCCAGACAACTGCGCAGAAGCCTTAGCCTCTACTTCATTATGAAACTGCTTGGAAAAATGCAGATGGTCCCAAACTCCTGGCAAGAAGAGATCCAGGTTAGTGTGGGAACCCAGGGGAAGAGAAAGAAAGGATCAGGGGTGGTGTTTCGCTGGCTCTCTTTCAACATGACAGGAGGTATCTTGGAATAGCTTTGGGGGGTCATCCCCAAGAGAAAAGCCAGAGGGCTATTGGGGTTTTGTTCATGGACCCTTTTTTGTTTATTTGTGAAAAGCCCTGGTTGTGAATATGTGGATTTCAACTCCCAGAATTCATAGCTGTCTGGGGAATTCTGGGAGTTGAAGTCCACACATCTTAAAGTCGCTGAAATTGAGAAACACTGCTGTAGAGCTAGACTGCTGAACCACATGTTGTGAAAGGTTTGGGGACACCTTTTAGGGTTCAGAATGATGGCCAAATTAACTGGGCTTCCATAAGCTAAAACTCATTGGCTGGGTTCACACAACAGGCTAACCTAGGCTAAAATGGCTCCGTATGTGGTGTGGTTCAGTGGATTCTGTGAACCAACCATTTCATTGTTCACTGATGGGTGCTTCTCCTAGAGGCCTGTTCACCTTTGCTGATGCTCACATCCACGAATCAAGGAGCCGAAGATAATATGGCAATCAAACACATCCTTCAGTTTAGCTGATTGCTTAAAAATCCGTTGCCGTGTCTGTGCAGATGGCTCTCACACTAGCATAAACAGCTGTGTTCTCTGCCTTTAACGCACATCTACAACACTATCCAGCCATGTGTGCCTCCACCCTGGAAAATGACAAGAGGGGAATGCAAGTCTTCCAAGCTGCTGAACAATTGTGTCCCAAAGAAAGGAGAGCAGAAGATAGGAGGGGGTGTCCCAGGGTGGGACTTCATAGCCATGTTGGTCCTCCAACTTGCTTCTGTCTACACAGGGGGGCCTTTGAAGACCAAGGGCAAGGACATCCTGCATCCTGCCCCACTTTCTAAGGATATGCATTTAGGACAATTGGAAACTGTAGTTTCCTCTGGTACTTTTTCATCCTCATCTGGGTCCTATCATTTCCCAAGGGTAAAAAGGGAGGAGACCCACAGAATGACTTTTCAAGAAGACCGCGCCACATGTGACTAAGTCGAGATACTTCCTGGCTTTGATTTCACCACTTTGATCATGACGCCCAAGTCTTTCTCTTGTGTTTTTGTGGTTGGGGCTCATAAAGGGCGGTGAGATCCCTGCCGAGGAAAACCACATAAGAGAGACCTAGGTTTATTCAATGGACTTTCTTGAAGACCATTTTAAAAAGGTTCATTCTTAGCCTCCTCAACAGGATATCAGCATTTCTTACACATTCACCCATACCGCCATCTGCGCAAGAGAATGGTATTTAATTTATAACCCAAGATCAGATAGAGAATAATGCCTTCTTTGTAGGTGACTTTTTTTAAAAAAATACAGAACTCCTTTGTTTCACAGTGATAATTAAGTATTAACTAAATGGAAAGGGCTTTACGTTTCTCAGCCAGTTGTAATTCTTAACGCTTGGCATTTATATATTGTTTTTAGGGTGCTGAAAGTGCTTGACAAGCCTCACTGCAGTTATCTTTGCTAGAGACTGCGAAATAAATTAGAATGTGAACACCTCTCCCATTGTAGGTGAAGGATAGGCTTGGGGAGGGGTGAATTGGTGTTGTGCCAAGGGCCACCATTCTGCGTGCCGCATCATTGCCAGAAATGGACAGAGGTGGAATTGGAGGTGGGCACGGTTGAGATCAGAACAGAGAAGGAGTTGTACATTTTACACTGGCCACAACGATCTCTCTTCCCGCCCCCAACTCCTCTTGCCTTTAGGAAGGTCCTTAAGACCTGGATCTTCTCCCAGCCATTAGGGTAGTGTTTCTCAACCTTGGCAGCTTGAAGTCCACACATCTTCAAGCTGCCAAGGTTGAAAAACACTGCATTAGGGGTTGGTTGAGTTTGGTTGCTTTGGTGTATGCTTGGTTGCCATTTTATGTTTTGAATTTATATATTGTATTTGTTTGGTGTTATAGGGTGTTTTGGAGGGGTTTGGGGATGTATTATTTGGTTGTTATGCCATACACAACCCAAAGTCACATTGTTTGAGTTGGACAGCCTTATAAATCTTAAAAACCAGCCAACCCACCCACCCACCCACCCAATCTTCTTTTCTTCCTGCCCCCTCTCTTGATTCCCTCCTCTCTCCTTCTGCTTTCTCCCTGATCACCTTGGCTTGCTAGAACTTGGCCTAGATCAAAGCTTCTTTTTGTGCAATGGGGATCTTTCTTTCCTCAATCTAATTGCTGCAGGATAGATTCTGGGAAGGATTTTGCAGATAGCAACATCCAAAGTAGATTACCCCTTCCACGAATTTTGCTCCCCAGTGGGGCAGGTAAGTATGGAAAGGAAAAAGTCCCATGTGTAAACAGATCTTCCCCCACCAGAATCCTAGATGCCCCATAGGAGCGAGGGGCTGAGATGGAGTTTCTCCTGCAACACCCCTGCCTTGTGCGTCCGAGTTCTGCTGTACACAGAGCTGAAGAGCGATCAAGTTCTTCATCTGCCCGGCTTTGCAGCAACCAAGGAATTAGTCCAAAGACTCGGTACAGATGTTGGTCAGTTCAGATTAAGGTTCTTCCCACCACCAAGGGAAGGAAAACCTGTTGACTGGAGGCATATGTTTTACTTTCTGCTCCAGCAATTGGGTGTAATTTTTGAAATTGCCAACTCGGCTTCCTCCACAGTCCATCACAGCATCAACTTTTCTGGCTTCTGCACTTTAAGGCGTGCAGGTGGGCGGCTTATTTTCATATATTTAGACATATACATATATATGTGTGCGTGCGTGCGTGTGTGCGCGTTTAGTGATTCATCCTGGCAACTCAGCTATTGTTTAAATATTCTCCACAGCTTCTTTTTAAGGAAGAGGAATAAGTAATCAGCAGGCACAATGAAGAACGGTGGGAATGGACGGGAGCGAGAAGGAGATCTGACAGATTGCTTTCTCTCCTCACCCTCTTCCCCCTACCTCCACCCCAGTGCTGTGCTGAAATGAAAATTTTGCTGATTTGTTAACATTCAAACCCACGACGGGGTTATCCAGAGTGTGAAACACTTGGGAGGCAGGAAAGGGGTGTCGGCGGCAGAAGGAAGAATCATTTTTTAACCAGGCAAGTCCACACAAGGGTTCAAGACTGCCGACTCAGCCCGTTCCTCTTGAGCAAGACACACCACGTCAAGGCCAGGCCAGGCCAGTGGAAAACAGCCAAGGAAGCCAATCTAGATGGTGTTTTCCCTTCCTGCGTCCCCTGCAATCATGACTTCGCTGGAAGTAAAGCCACCATCAGGGCTAGAGGATGAAACATAGCAAGTTGAGATCTTCTTCTATCAACCAAGTACGAACAGAAGACAAGCCAACCCAGCCCCAGAAGAATTTTCCCTGGAGAAAAGCTTTTTAACTTAAATTCATGCTGTCCTATGTCAGCTGTTAAATCTTAAGCCGATTGGGTTTCCAGCCCGTGGACATGGCCCTCTAATGCAAGGCATCTGTGGAGCCCATCTTCTCGCAAATTGCAGGTCAGCAGAAGCACGCTGTCTGCAAATGCTGAGTTGGCAGCGCTCAGGTCCCCGTGGCCTGAGCTTGCTGCAATCCCAAAGGGTCTCCACGCAGCTCCATCTGCTTCCTGCTCAAGGCACTTCTTCCAATTTCTTCCTTTTGCCCTCCAGTCTGTTGCCAATTATATCCGCGCACCTCTGACCACACTTGGCAATCAGGTTTTGCATACTCCCGCTCAGATCCTTGAGAAATTCAGGACAGCTTCACATAATGAGTAAGGGGGAAGAAAAGAGCAATACTACTTTATAGCAGGAGAGGGTCCCTTTTGGGGGTGCCCTTAATGTTTTGGGATGAAGCTACAGCAGGGGGGCTGAAGATGCAAAATGCCCATTTTGTGGAAAGGAAGGAAGGAAAAGGGAGGAAGAAGGAAGAAAGAGGGAGGGAGGGAAGGAAAGGAGGGAGGGAGGGACAGTTTTACAAATGTTATCTGATCCTAGCACTACAATAATTTAAACTAGTGTTGGAATGGTTCTTCCAACTTCGTAAAGTTGAGAGAAGGCTATAAAATGGAAGGTGGCCATTCTAACACAACACGGAGAAGTTAAGTGAGCCTGGTTGCTCAATTAAGTTGAGTGCAGAGGAACATGAATTTCAATCAAATTCTTCAAATAATAGGATGTAGGGATAGATTTTCTGCCTTTCCTTTGGTTTTTGGAGAGCACGGGTGGGGGTGGGCTGTTGTCTACCAATCAGAGAATTTCCTACCTTAAAATGTCCTGGCCGCCGTGCTCCAACATGGTGGCTAGAAAATAGGGGCAAGTGGTTGGGGAGGGGGCAGAAAAGCAAGCCTCCTGCATATGATTTTTCATATGCTCCTTTGAAAAGGAAGCCGTCTAATCGTGACTGGCTTACAGTCTGAGCAGAACAAGAAGCTGCAGTCAAGGCCCACTTCATGTCTGAGTGCTCCTTAATCTCCAACTGTTTAAATTCTTCACACTCATGCTATGTAAACTGCAGCGTTTGCTTTCGAATGGCACTAACTGCACTTAGCTTGGGCTGTCTCACCAGCGGCAGCCAGGGAGAGTTAAATACGCTTCATGGTTCCTGCAGGACGGCCAGGTTCAGCTCAGCTTCTATCCAGAGCTGCCTGGGAGCTCTCGAAAGGGCATTTTCTTCTAGAATCTGGATCTGGCACCCACGTCACTTCACCCCGGCTCCCATGCCATTCCGATGGGAGACAAAGACGGCGGTCAAGAGATTGTGACGGGGGGTCAGCGCCATGTGAATCGATCGCTTTCAGCAGAAACCCACATCCTCTCCTACAGAAGGTCAGGCTTGGCGGAGGAACAGAGCCTGCCTTTTACAATGGCCTTTTCTGATCTCTTGGGGGTTGAAGCTGGCTCCGTTCCACTCACTCGCTGTACCATTTCCTTTTTAGGCTCGAAAATCCAGGCAGGCAGAAAGTGTAGCGTCCACAGCCATTCCAGAGATGTTGTTGGAGTGGACCAAGCAGTTGTTTGACTGGCGACACCAGGCCTTGAGGGATGGGAGTTCTCGCTGTCTGCCAGGCCCTTCTAGGAAGCAACAAGCACCCTCCGAATGGCAAGACTATTTAGGTGTACATCAACTGCCTCCTGCTGAAAACGCGGCTCCGCTTCTGTTTCGGTTCTTCTCCCGTTGCCTGGTACAACTCACAAAAACCCACACCTTTCACCAAATGGGTTAGTTGGAAAAGGGGCTACCAGGTTTCTCCTGATTTTTGGCTAGCCTACATTAACACGGCTCTCCTCCTACCAGGACGACCATAAGGTAGACCCTGCCTTTCCCAATGGCCTTTTCCAACTTACAGTTGGGGTTTGTGACCTTGCTCCTCCACTTTAGGGTCGACCAGGTAGGAGAGCTGTGTTAGCATAGGCTCGTCAAAAATCAGGAGAAGCCTGGTAGCCTCTTTTCCAACTAACCCATTTAATGAAAGGCGTGGGCTTTTGTGAGCTGCTCCAGAACCTATGTGAACATTGCAGGAACATTAAGAGTCGCATGAACTACAAGAACATTAAGAAGGAGTCTGGTTGCACCTTTTCAGACTAACACATTTGATTCAGCTTGCACCTTTAAATAAAATTCATTAATTGGAAAAGGTGCTAGCAGACTCCTTCAGACTCCTCTGCCTTAGGACAGTGTTTCTCAACCTTGACAACTTTAAGATGTGTGGACTTCAACTCCCAGAATTCCCCA